TGTGTGAAACACCTTGTAAAGGGAGCATTCTGATACTTCAGTAAAAATTTGCCCAGCTAAATTGAGGGAGGACATGTGACTGTGTTGATAATATGTTCTTGTTGTGTCTCCTCCACGTGATGGCAGGAGGCTAAGCTCTGGAAAAAGTAGAGATAATTTAAAGGTAAATGGATGAGATAGTTTGGGTATATTTTGCAAAGATCACTCTGTTAAAATGCTGTCTGTAGGTAGACTAAGAACTGACAAGCAACTGTGACAGATCACACAGACACACACACATGCATGCACACACGCATACATTCTATAGCTAGTAATAAGCAGTTAAGATACCATACATATGTGTCTTTTCTAAATATCTTGATGTATTAGATACAGGGAAATTTTTAATTTTTTATTGAAAATAAAATAATTCTATATTTTTTAAAAATTAAAATTAAATGACCTTTTTTCCCTTTTCCAACCCTTCCTATTCACCATTCCCTATTCTCTCTTTCTCTAATTCCCTCTGCCTTGTTTACTTTAACTGTCATTCCAAACGGTACCACCCACTAAGTCAGTATGTGTTACTTGTATACTTGTTTTTAGGACTGATCACTTAGGAAAATCTCTCCTTCTCTCAGCATTTCTTAGTTTCCTGTTGTTTTATGTCTGGTGTTGGGGCCTCATGAGGTTTACCACTTGAATACTAGCAAATCTATTAGTGTCACATTCGTCATTAATGGCATTTGTTAATTAATTCATCTTTTGAAACCTTTCAAATATAAGTATTGTATTAATGCACTGCCAAGAGTTGATAGCGCTTTTTGTCACTCTCCTACCACCACACACACACACACACCTGGTCCCAAAGAAACATAGAGAGGCCTATATTAATTATAAACTGGTTGGCCTATTAGCTCAGGCTTCTTATTAACTAATTTGTACATTTTAATACGATCCATAATTCTTTTTTTTACATTTTTTTTATTTTCTTTTATTTTTATTTATTTATTTATTTATTTAGGATTTCTGCCTCCTCCCCGCAACCGCTTCCCATTTCCCTCCCCCTCCCCCGATCAAGTCCCCCTCCCTCATCTGCCTGAAGAGCAATCAGGGTTCCCTGACCTGTGGGAAGCCAAGGACCGCCCACCTCTATCCAGGTCTAGTAAGGTGAGCATCCAAACTGCCTAGGCTCCCCCAAAGCCAGTACGTGCAGTAGGATGAAAAACCCAGTGAGATTGTTCTTGAGTTCTCAGTATTCCTCATTGTCCGCTATGTTCAGCGAGTCCGGATTTATCCCATGCTTTTTCAGACCTAGGCCAGCTGGCCTTGGTGAGTTCCCGATAGAACATCCCCATTGTCTCAGTGTGTGGGTGCACCCCTCGTGGTCCTGAGTTCCTTGCTCGTGCTCCGTCTCCTTCTGCTCCTAATTTGGACCTTGAGATTTCTGTCCGGTGCTCCAATGTGGGTCTCTGTCTCTGTCTCCTTTCATCGCCTGATGAAGGTTAATATTCATGAGGATGCTTATGTGTTTGTCTTTGAATTCACCTTCTTATTTAGCTTCTCTAGGAACATGAATTATAAGCTCAATGTCCTTTATTTATGGCTTGAAACCAAATATGAGTGAGTACATCCCATGTTCCTCTTTTTGGGTCTGGCTTACCTCACTCAGGATAGTGTTTTCTATTTAATTCTTGTCTGTGTTAGTCATGTGGCTTGGTACCTTTTATTAGTGAGGCATTTTCATCAAAGTTCACAGTATAAACACATTTTTATTAGAACATAGCCACACTATCTTTACAGAACGTATATGATTGCTATATTCCAATAGAAATAAACTGATTGTAGGAGCAATGACATAACCTGCACAACCTAAAATATTCAGTATCCAACCAGTAACGGAAAAGGCTCCTGGCCCAAGAATTAGCCTCTATCGATTACCATTCAATGCGTGAAGTAGAGGACTTAGGGTTCTCTATGTCTAGTCTTTCATCTTGATTCTATCATAGCCCCACAGTTTGCTACTTTATATACTATAAACGCTATAATGAAAAGCTTTTATCCTAAATAATCAATTATCTTTCAGAGAAAATTCAAACACAATTACTTAACATGTATTAGCACACTGAACCATCCCTAGCCTATTTTTTTGTACGTAGATATTCTAATAGCAAACAATCAAAAATTGTCTATTTTATCTTTTTTGCAATATAAACAGACATGTAATCAATTGTTACTGCTTTTAAAATAAGTATTATTGTGTTACTTTATTTTAAAGGTTGTTTTGGAGAGTATAGAAAGTTCGTATGAAGACTTTTCACTTTCTTTCCTTCCTGCTGTTAGTACTCAGTTCCATTGCTTTTTGGCCTGTATTGTTTCTAATGAAAAGTTTCTGCCCTCTAAGGATATTACAGATTTTATCTTTAACATTTTTTTATAGCAGTGATGAAAAAGTACACTTATATGTTTTTATCTGTGCTTATTCTGCATGAATTCAATAAACTCCCAGTTATTTGCACTTAATGACTTTCAAACATTTTTTTCAACACATATACAGTGTCCCAACTGGATAGTTGGTAGTCATCCTATCAGCTTCTTCATATTTTCCACCTCTGAGCATAAACTAAGAGGAGAGAAAAAAGTGTCCCAATATCATCCTTAAGGGTACACTACCAATGACCAATGTATCTCCCAGTCACTCCAATGTCTTAAAGTATCAATCAGAACCACTAGTAGCACCTAATAGGGCAAAGGTCTCAAACATGGGGATCTTTGGAGAATGTTTAGCATCCAAAGTGCAGTTGGATCCAATATTCTATGAAGATAGACGAGTAGTCTTCTAATTTTATACAGACACACACACACACACACACACACACACACATATGAGTTCTAAAGTTTCCATTATATTCTCTTTTAATAATATTTATCCCATAAATTTTTTCTACTTCCTTTTTAAATTTTTATGTGTATTCTTTAAAAAACATTGCCAATTCTTAATAATTACCAGGTTTTATCTGATAATTATTATTATATCTGTCATTCTGAGATCCATTTCTGCATAGTGACTTTTCTCTGATTGTGACTCCTATTTTCCTGCTTCTCCAAAGACCTAGTGGTTTGAATTTATAGTGAACATTATAAATGTAATTGTTGTTGGATATTTTTAATTTTAATGGCCTGCCATGACTTAGAGTTGTTTTCTGTTTCAGCAAGGAGTTTATCTGTGAGTTTAGCTGACTTCTAGTAACCTCTGTTCAAGTATAATGACTAGCCCTTATTCAATCACCATCATTATCATCATCATCATCATCAATGAACTATGCCATCCCTACATCTAATGGATGACCTTCTTGTGATTGCTACTGCTTGACTAGTTTTGTTCAACAAGAAAAGCCATTCTGATCTGGTCTGTAATCAAATTCTTCCACCCTGTGCAACACCTGGGTGTTCATCTCAGAACTTCCTTTAACCAATCCTATGGAATGTTGGCCTGAAAACATACATTTGATCTACCATACAGACTTTATAAATACTCATGATGAATTTTCAATGATCTTTCCCTACAAAGCCACTTCCTTTATGAAACTCTGCCCAGTGGTTTCCAGTTTCCTCAGTAGCTGCAAATTTGTTCTGCTTCTGCCCCAGAGACACTCTTAAACTCTTATTGGATCTTCTTTTCATGTCATCACCTGGGAAGGGAATCTTTTCCAAATCTGGAAACTCACATGGCTCGCCTCACTTATCCATCCTCTTATGTGAGTCAGATTTCAGTTCTCAGAATAGTCTTTGCATATTTGTTCAGTTTTCTTAGTTGCTTCGAAAGCTGTTTTACTATCATTCTAAACGATATTCCAAATAAACAAACACTGTTAAAAACATACTGTATCACTGACTATCCTCGGAGAATCGATTATATTCTCAGTCTTTAAATCTTTTATCTTGCCGGGCGGTGGTGGCGCACGCCTTTAATCCCAGCACTCGGGAGGCAGAGGCAGGCGGATCTCTGTGAGTTCGAGACCAGCCTGGTCTACAAGAGCTAGTTCCAGGAGAGGCTCCAAAACCACAGAGAAACCCTGTCTCGAAAAACCAAAAAAAAAAAAAAAAAAATAAATCTTTTATCTTTAAAATAATAAGTATATTTTGATATGCTTTGTCTTGGATAATTTGCTAAAATCCATCAATTATTCTCTTCAGCATCTCTAAATGCCAAACTTTCTCTGCCATACTTTCTGTTATTTATTTGTAGGCAGTCACAGATAGGACCAGAATTTGAATCCTTTTAATCTCTGTTAACTCTATTTGACTTCAAAAAAATTCTCCTTTCTTACTATTTGCTGGTCAAGTATCATATTTTCTCAAAGACATTTAATTTTGTCTAGTGTCTCAAATAATTTATATAACATGTGGCTATCAAGTAACATTGCCTTTATTACCAAGTAACAGTATTCCTTTCTAATATGAGTGGTTCATTTCCAACATACCTCACCTCTCATGAGTCCAAAGCTTTAATATCCAGTTGTAATTTATTTTAAGAAACAGGGAATCTACAGGCTTTGATTCTGAACTTCTTAAAACAAAACATATTTGAAAGTTGTTATAATTGAGTTTTGTTTTGTTTATAATTTGCTAAATGATAAAACCTCACATGAGGAATAGGAAAAGCATAACTGCATATTTTTTCTTATGGTTTTAACAGAAGAGTTCATGGCAAATTGATCAACCCTCAGTCAATTAGACTTTGACATATACTAATAAGATCTAATTGAGGAATTATGAAGACATTTGCTCAGGAGAAAATGAGCACATAATTACACCATAAAGAGGTTAAAGCACCAATGTTACCCAGCTGGAAGAATATTAGTTGGAGTCCCAATGGCATCTATAAAGGATACTTCGTAATACATCTATGAAATATAGCACTGAAAAGGCCAGTTAAGATATATAGAATAATTCATTTTTAATTGTAAGAGTTCAATTTTTTAAACTTCCATTTTCCCCTTTGCTTCTGTCCATTTCAGGTGCTGGGGGATGGTCACCATCAGACAGTGACCACTATCAATGGCTTCAGGTTGATTTTGGAAATCGGAAGCAGATCAGTGCCATTGCAACCCAAGGAAGGTATAGCAGTTCTGACTGGGTGACGCAGTATCGGATGCTCTACAGTGACACTGGGAGAAACTGGAAACCCTATCATCAAGATGGGAATATCTGGGTGAGTCACTATCAGAAATTCTAGCATGCAGAACTGAATGGAAAATATGTGAAAATGGGAGAGGACTCACATGGGCTATTCATAGTTGCAAATATTGGTCTATGAAAACTATTGGAAGTCTACTAATTAACCATTAATTAACTAATTCAGCTTTGGTCATTAATTATTATTTGTTTAAGCTGCAAATGCACATCCAATTCATAGATCAGTGGGTCTCTGTCTTGATAAAGCATTTAAATCACCTGAAGAACTATTAATACATAAAGACGCTGGTAACACCTGGACCAATCAGAATCAGATCTATAGAAAACCCAATTAAAGAATGGTATTTCAAACCATCATTACAGATCTATATAAACATTCTATTATTCCATTGTGAAAAATATATAAAATTTGGTCCATGTACTCTGAAAATATATCAGCTCTGATTGGAAAGTTATGTTTTCAACCAAATAATCATCATAATAAGGTAATTATTACCACTAAATTATACATGAGCTATTTTAGTTTATCAAACTATATTTCAAATCTATGATAAAAATCAAGAAAAACAATGAGTATAAAACAGAAAGAAGGAAAAGGTAGAGGATTGGCTCATGGTATTAGCCTGATAAGTGGGTACTTTCAACCTTTCAGGGCTCACTTACTGGAAATAGGTATTTTTTTAAAAGTGCAAAATGTTCATATGAGTTTTTGAAGTTGAGAATTTACTATAGTTCATATGCATTACCACATGAGTGGCCAACCATGGCAACCACACTGTGAACTAGGCACGTGATCTCTAATGATAAATATGTTCCCCCAAGAAGGATTGTAGAAATAACTCATCTCAGGCCAAGCTATCTATCAATAATACCTATGTATTGTAATTTATTGGAAACACATTAAAAGGAAAATATCCCTTTAATGAGAAGTTCTCATTACATGCTGAAGATAACCCAAAGCCTCTGGCATAAGTTACAGAAACGTGATTTTCAACCACAAACATAAAAAAATGGTTGTACTAATCTACTTATGTATGCAATAAAACAATAATATAGCGGCTAGTTATATGTAGTGATTTTAGAGTCTTGATTTGCTTTGATGGTGGATAGCAGTCAGGTTTAGTCACAGCAGGACTGGAGGCAGATATGTTTGAAAGGTAAGATTGCTCAGGATAACTCGAGTTCCTCTGCTGATACATGTAAACAATAGAAATGATTGCTCCAGGGAAAACACTCTGAAAACAGACCATGGGGAGGAGATAGGCTGTGTGCAAAGAGTTCTCAAAACAGTTTATGTGGAGAAGCTAGATTATGTGTTCAAGGAGTTCTCAAAACAGATCAGGAGATCAAGATAGGCTCTGTGTGTAGAGTTCTCAAAACAAACATGAGAACAAGATAGGGTGTAGGTGCAAAGTTCTCAAAACAGCTCATGTGGAGAAGGTGGGCTGTGTGTGCAAAGAGCATGCTGACAAAGTGGGGGCTTCTGTGATCTTCTCCCATTCCAACATTAGTTTTATCTCTTCCTTTCATGCTTCTCATTAACATTAGCATAGTGATGAGTGATGAGTAATAAGTGATGATTTCTAGAAGATTCTGTATGAGCTAATTACAAAACTTTAAAATTACAAACAAGTTTAAGGAGCAATGTAAATATTGTGAAATACATTTAAGTGCTAGTAAGCATTCTACATAATGAATCTAATAACCTCTGGCAGGAATGTTTGAATCCCTGCTAATATCAAGAGTGATGACTGATATAAATTGCATTTGCCTCTAACCATCCTCAACTACTTTGCTGTTATACTTTAAGAATTAATGGATAGAATGTTAACTCTTACAACATCAACAAACTATATCTATGCTTAATTTTAGTAGTGATGATAATTAAATATTATATTTTATTGTAATTAATCTATTTCTACTTAATATCTTGTAAGTTAGATAAGTTTAGACAAAGTTGAAAAGCCTTTTGATTCACAGACTATTACAAGATGAAACTTTCAGGTAGTCAAAAGATTTTAAAGTTGACATGATATTGAGCTAACATTTCTTACTCATTCCTATGATTGACAACCTGAGGAGAATAGAAGGCAAGGTCAATTCTATATATTGAACAGTAATTTTAACAAATATAAGTAGTTTTTACTGCTATAACTGTTAAGGAAATGGGTGCTATACCTAATACAATATTTTTCAAAGTCAATGTAAATGTTTTGAGTGATTTTATAATTGTTGGTACTGTATGCAAAGAACCAAAAAAAAAAAGGGAGTAAGTACTAATAAAAAAAATCATTCATGCTAGAAGCATGAACTCAAATCAAGGGTATTACATACCCTGGGTCCCAGTACACCAGTTCTAACAACATTGTTGTGCTGAGTCCACCTGGCTCAATAGAGAGCCCCATTGTCACATAGGAGTTCACAAATATTGGTGGTTCCCAAAACAATAATAATAGGCATGCTTGTGAGAGAAAGTCACTTGGAGGGGAGAGGGTGAGCAAGAGTAGTAATGAGGTAGGGGTAGGGGTAAGAGTGGTCACTAAGCAAAGTGCAAAGCTGTTTTAAAAATGAAAATGAAAGGATAGTAGCTATCAACAAATATTTACCAAGTAAACAAAGGGAAAAACAAATTACCTAAGCAAAAAATGTCAGTACTTCAAACATTTTGAAAGTCATGAAACTTTGCCTGGAATTGTCCCTTTAAGAGATTCTTAAACTGGTCTATCTGAATATTTGATATGCAAAAATGTGAGCTGGTGAATGTGTCCAACTGGCCAAATCGTCCAGTCCTCTCTGATAATATTTAACACAATAGACTCCTGTATCCTTACTGACAAGGACATTTCCTTCTTTGTAGTATCTCCTTTAGCGTAAATGACAACTTTCAGCTGGGTGGTGGTGGCACACGCCTTTAATCCCAGCACTCTGGAGGAAGAGGCAGGCAGAACTCTGAGTACAAAGCCAATCTGGTTTACACAGTTAGTTTTATGACAGGCACCAAAGCTACAGAGAAACCCTGACTCAAAAAAGAAATAAATGAAGGAAGAAAGGAAGGAAGGAGGAAGGATGAAAGAAAGAAAGAAAGAAAAGAAAAGACAACATTCAAATAGGTAAAAAAAAAAAAAAGGATCCCCCTCATTGATTTTACATAGTTCTAGAACTCAAATTTGTACACTTCTATGAAGTATTTTTTGCAGGGTCTCTTATATGAAGGAAAAAAAGAAATAATGTATGTGATAGTTTCTTACTAAAAGTCCAGTAAGCATGATATTAAATAAGAATTCCACCATTCAAGATTGCTCAGAAAATTTAATTACTCAGGGTTCAAAGCAGATATCTGAAATCAAAATAACACAATATTGATTAATGTTTAATAGGTTTATAGTATACATGTATTTTATTTATTTGTTTTATTTTATTTATTATATATATTATCTTATATTTTATATCTTTCCAAATTTACCTGTATAATATAAACATGATATTCTTTCTCTGTAGGAGAAAATGAGAATATATTCCTAATTATTTTTTAAAGAGTTTTGATCCATTTTGGAAGAGTCAGCAGGTATCAGACAAAATTAATTACCACCATATGTCTTGGGAATTTGTACTGTAGAGAAATGTCTTCTCATATTGAAATTACATTGTTAGATTCTCAGCAAGAACATGGAAATATACATTCTACCATTATCTAACACATCAAATAGAGTATTAATTATTAAGAATTAAAAATTTGAAACTTCGTCACCTTGTTTTACATAATTTTATCACAGGAAACCCAATATGTACTCATAAACTTTCATTCTTTCATCCAAATTTTAAACATCTCAAACATCTGGAATGCAGACAGATTCCAGCAGGAAAAAAAAAATGTTTCTTGCGCTGTCAAATCAATAACTGCATTCCTTAATCAATATGAGCACTTAGTTAATTGTTACTAGCACTTAATTAAAGTTTCCAAAGAACTTTTTGTGTTTATTTGCTTGTTTTTGTGACAGCTCTAGTTTTTTCTGGGACTCACTTTGTAGATCAGGCTGGCCTTGAACTCACAGAGATCCACCTACCTTTGGCTCCGAGTCCTGGAGTTAAAGATGTTCATCCTCACCACCCAGCTCACACCCCCTTTCTTCAATGAGACTGCAACATTTTGATTAAAAAGTGAAAGCTGAGCTGTGGTGTCAAAGGTCTGAATGAAGCATCTTGACTCATTCATTTATTTTATATTCCAGAAACTTTCAGTTCTCCTCCAGGGCTTGAAATTCCTAATCTAAAAACAAGAAATAAAAACAGGATCTTAAGTTGCAAATATATAAGTAAGCAAACTTGGCAAGACATAATAATTTAGAAACACAAGTATTACCCACCCTAGAAGCAAATTTACACATCACGTCCACAGTGATGAGCACCCCAAATGCTTCAGTCCCCTCTGTCGTTTGCACATTCTATCTCTGTTTACTCTCATGCATGACTTAAAATACTCCACAATATTGCCAATAAAGGAAACATGACTTCACACGGAAGGTAGAACATAAGCAAATCTCTGAAATGCTTTCCAAATGAACACAGGCAAGAGAGTGCCTCAATACATCAGTGCCTGGCACACTGCAGGCCTGGCCAGCGACTTGGGCTGTGAGGCCTCGTTTTGAGCCAAAAGTCAGGTTAGTGCTTGTAACACATTATTTGTTACCATAATGATGGCCTTGTGTGCAATGAGCCATGTAAGGGGACAACGTTTAAAAATGAGTGGGTGATTCTGTCCTATCTTTTCAACCATTTGTCATAGTGGTTGCACTAATTTTCCAAATCATTTAAAAATCTGTTCTTATTAGGGATTCACAACACGAATGCAGTTCCACACTGCAGTAGTGTGCTTAGAATAGTCTTGCTGCATAAGACACTAAGGGAGAAAACCTCTCTCCAGGCTTGCCCAAATGTCCTCATCAGATGATGGCATCAACTGCCGTTTGCCAATGCAGTTGTCTTCATAGGTGTCTGAGGTTGTTCTTGCAGACTTTC